AGGTCAAGTTCGAATTTGGTCATGGTTCGATGATTTTTGGCAGAGTTATGCCCCTTTTACTTTGAAAATAATATGAAATTTTCAGTTTCTGTTCATTATCTACCCAACAGTGTTACATATTCAACTCAAATTTGACATATGGATATGTCAAAGGAATGGGCAGGTCAAGTTGGAATTTGGTCATGGTTTGATGATTTTTTGGCAGAGTTATGTCCCTTTCACTTTGAAAATAATATAGATACATCTTAGGAATAAGCAGTTTAAGTTTGAATTTGGTCGTGGTTCAATGATTTTAGACAAACTTATCTTTCCTGAATGTTGGAAAAATTTTGAACTTTCAGTTTCAGCACTCATACTTTTAGCCATTATTTTGGCTACAAATATGCAATATGCTATTTTTAAAAGGTTAAGACTGAATAATTTCAGTGCCTTGAACATTGTATGAAAATGGTTTGTGTTAACATTGAAAAGTTTTAAGGGCTTTGAACTTAAAATGAAAAAAATAATTAATGCACCATCTGAAATTTTGGCTGCATGCGGGGGCATCCGTGGCATGATGACACATTTCTAGTTTTATTATTGCATTTATTTCTGTTGATAAACTGCATATCTGACAAATTTAGTTAATTATATGAGTCAACCCAGCTTTATCAGACAGAGTTGGAGGATTTGCAGAATGATTTATCACAGGCCAGGAGAGAGGCTGAATCCAAACCATCTCAAGACAACAACTTGCGGCTCCAGCAAGCAAAAGCCAAATTCCTTAAAACCAAGATCCAGACACCAGGAGAAGCTGGAGAGAGAAAACTGCCTCTCTTAACATGGAAAAGGATGGCACCAAACTTTAGAGACTGACCAAACAATTGAATGATGAGGGTGGAAACGAAAAAGGCACGGTAACACTGGAAGAGAATGACACTCTGCTGACAGGAAAACAGGCAGCCAACACTTTTGCTGACAATTAAAGAAATGTAAGCAACATCCCCATCAGCAGAGAACAACAGAGAGAGTCCAGAAGAGAACAAAGAGAGAGGAGAAGAAACACTTCAGATGTAGAACCCATGGAGAAAGACCTCACTCTCTATGAGCTACAGGCAGCTCTCAGAAAGCCAGAAAGTCACCAGGACCAGATGGCATAACAATTGAAATGCTCACCCACCTGGGCACGTTTGCAACCAATACCCTTCTTGAGATCTTCAACCTCAGCTGGAAAGAGGGCAACCTCCCACAGATATGGAATACGGCTTACATGGAAGGCTCATATAGCACAAGCTGAAAGCAAAGCACGGAAGAAACTAGCCATCCTCCGAAAACTTGCAGGCACCACCTTGGGAGCCAGTCAGGACATACTAAAAACAGTATATAAAGGCACTATAAGACCCCACCTGGAGTATGGATCCTTAGCATGGATGACATATGCCAAGACAAACCAGCAAGTGCTTGACAAGGTCCAAAACCAAGCCCTGCGTGTGATCACTGGAGCAATGAAATCGACTCCAATAAAAGCTATGGAAGATCTCACCGCTATTCCACCACTTGGTCACAGAAGAGAAGAAAAACGATGATACAAGTGGCAAAATACCAGTACCTGCCAGACCATCCCATGAAAAACAAATTGTATGGTCTAACAAAGAATCGTCTTAGAAGGAGCAGCTTTATACATGAATCCAAGCAGCTAGTCAAAAAATACAGCCCTAGACTTGGACCAGCAATCACTCCTCTCGGTAGGAAGGACCTATCAGAGCCATGGAAACATGACCTGTCACACATACAAATTCGCACTACTGTCCCACAATTATCATCCGGGGAACAGGAGATGACCAAGAAATCCCTTACACAAGCTATGATACATGAGGACTTCCCACAAGAGATCTGGACCCATGTATATACAGATGGCTCAGCGACTGCCGCTGTCCAAGATGGGGGAGCTGGCATCTACATTGTGTACCCAGGAGGCAAAACGGAGACAAATAGTTGCCCAACCGGAAAACACTGCACCAATTACAGGGCAGAAGTTGAAGCTATTATGCAGGCTATTACTCTTATTGAAGAGTCGCAAGAAGACTGCTCACCCGTGGTGGTGCTTACAGATGCCCTGTCTGTTCTTGAGGCCCTAAACAACTGTCGGCTACCAGAACTCTCCAGAGCTGTAAGCCATGTTAGCCATGGCAGAGAGCTGGCACTGCAATGGATTCCAGCCCACTGCGGAGTCCCTGGAAATGAGCAAGCAGACAGCTTAGCCAAATTAGGTGCCAAAAGAGACCAACCACAGAACACCGTAAGGCATGAGGAGAAAGTTACGCTGATAAAGGCACTGATGAAGCCAAAGACAGCACAAGATGATTACCATCTGCTTACCCGAGCTGAACAGGTAGCGCTTGTCAGGCTACGCACTGGCCATAACAGGCTGAACGCACACATGCATGATAAGCTAAAGCTGTCCAAATCACCTCTATGCTCCTGTGCCTTGGAAAATCAAACGGCAGAACATTTATTACAAAGATGCCCACATTTAGAGCAGCTGCGAAGAGAAGTGTGGCCAGCAAGCACCCCACTGGAGGAGAAACTCTACGGGAACCTTGAGGCCCTCCAGAAGACTGCACATTTCATCGCTGTGGCTGGGGTGACGTTGTAGAAGGGCGAACGACAAGAAGAAGAAGAAGAAGAAGAGAAGAAGATCAGACAGCTCACCAAAACTCATTGTAAAAAGAGGAAGGGAACGGAATATTTATGGTTTGAAAACATTTAAATCGAGTAGAATTTTTTAACAATAATGTCTCTTTCAACTGAATAAAAACGATAGGTCTATTTGGGACTATTTCTTATCGATGTGGTCATTGGCTGTAAATGCATGGATTATTGCACGCGGCATGACCTGCAGATGTCCTCAACAGGATTTTTGTAGCATTTTAAGATTTAAAAAAGGACTACATATTAAAATCTAAAACATGATAAACATAATGCATATGCAAAATAAGTGAATTATCTGATATGTATATAAAGATTTGGCAGTTGAAGGATAAAAATTGAATATACTCTTCAAATGTAATCGTAATTTATTACTTAGCTTATGTTAGCTATCAATTATTCAATGGACGCATCCGTGTCATATGGACCCCAATCATATGTTGATCTTGCCGGTGTTGCTATTACAGATGTTAATGTAAATATTTAAGTTTTGATAATCATTGTTATTTCCGTCTTTTTGAATGTTTTGTTTCAAGAAATTTGACTGTGATCGATGGCTATTGGTTTGTAAAATCATTTATTTGTTTACTATTTTCTACTTTGTTTACTCCACATGGCGTCCATTCTCTTCTCTGTTGGCGACTCATGGCTATTTTGGGCCTTTTTGATAAATAGAGAATCATTAGTAATGTAACTAAGTAACAATTCTATCAGGTTTACACGGCAAAGTTATATGTAATGATATTTAAAGTTGTTCTACACAAAGAACAGAATCTGACTGATGATGAAAGTGCTTATAGTTTAATAAGCATAAAATGTCAACGGCATGTTAATGCGCGTGACAATTAGATTTTAATACCGATACATGTGCATAGTACTTCAAATTGTGATTTCGTTTATCAAACTTTATAGAAATTTATTATACGGCAATTCCAGAAAAAATATATACCTTTGAAAAGTCTCTCTTTAGATGACAGAAGAACCTATTCGTCACGTTAACGAGTGTCAGTGTTTGTCAAACTTTACTCTTTACGAAAAATAGACTGAAAAAAATTACCTTTAGCTTTACAACACTCGCGTTAAAGTGTAACCCTTTCCGTAGCATACAAAAGTTTTTTTTTTATTTTAACTCTTTCTCTCACTGAGAGCACATATATTTCTTATCAATTTCGCCATTGTGAAATAGAATAAAACACATTTTACTACATAGGATAAGATGAGCAAAACTTTAAACATCTTCAAAACGAAACCAAAATATTATTTTTCGAGAGGACTAAATCTACGTGATTTGACGCGCACTACTGTGATACAAGTATATAAGTGTTATTGCTTTAAGGAACAATCAGTTTTTTCAAAATCTCTCTGTGAAAGATCAATAATAAAAAACTAATTTGTAGAAAGAGAACGGTAGGCATGTTGCTTCGCATTTGCAACGGATTCTAAAATCTGTTTTAAACTGTAGTCCTTTTTTTCGACTTGGAACTGGTGCCAGAATTGACAATTGAAGAAAAATGTAAGATTTATGTCATTCATAATAAAAATATGAACATATTTAGGTAGAGTTTTGCCTTCCGTACTCCCGGTTGATGTAAACCTGACTTTTTAATCATGGCGTAGACCAGAAAACGCCAGAAAACGAAATAGCTTGCAACTGAAGCCCGCTCTAATACAAGCAACTTCCAAGGTTATGCAAAGTGTTTGATAAAACGGCTTATAAACTGACGAAGATCCAATATTCTGTGGAAAGCTTATATTTTCCCCCGTAGACTGGTGTATATCCCAAAGAAATTGGTACAGAAATAAAATATTTACGGCTATTTTCTTTTCCGAATCGAGCTATATTTGTCTTGGAAATGATGCCGAAAATGACGTCATTTTCCGAATTTAACAATCTTTTAACTCTGTCACGTCACGTCTGGTTTATGACGCTCCAAGGGGGGATCCTCTACATGACGTCAGAGCACGCGAGGGAAACAGTCAAAACTATTGACCGGTCAACAGTTGAACAGTCGAACGTGGATGTTTTAAGAATTTCAGAAAACAGTAAAAAATACCAAATGACATTTATACAAGGTAATAATAGACGTTAAAAATAAAAAGAGAGTTATCATTGAGATGTTAAAGGTAAATATAAATGGATGTTGATAAGCAGGTGTCTGTAGTTTGTTTTACTTTTTAAAGAGCTAGAGAATTGAAAATCTTTAAGCATACATTACTAGTTTGTCTGATAAATGCCGTAAAGATTGTTTCCTTATGCCAGTGGTCTTTTATAAGATTCTTTGGCTAGGAATGTGTTAACTTACGAGAAGTTATCCTAGCACGCAACGATAGAGACAAAGTCAAACAGAGGGCGATGAAAACTAGCAGCAGAATAACCCCGATGATGATTTAAGTCCCTACTGACGATGCTGTCTGCTTTTCTGCTTCCTTCGTGTAGCCATATATACGCTGTTGATACAAAAAACTTTCCTGTACTGAAGTGAGTATCGCACTCTGAGTAACAAATTTGAGAATTCCAATATCAGTGAGCTTGTACAGTTTCATGGTGAACTCTTCAAGTTCGGTTAGGTTATTTTGATTGTTGATCTGCAATCCTATTTCATAATGTAACTGTTCTGGTTGCCATGGAAATAAAGAACAAAAATGACATTACAATCGGTAACAAATTAAATGCACTAAACATGTATAGAAACTTTGATTAATTATGTACCTTTCATTCTTTATTTTTTAATGAAATTATTGACGTTAATCATGGCATGTTGTCTACAGAATAAAGGTGGGATTTAATATTATTAAGGGGTTCCATCGAATAAAACTATAACGCACCTTTTTTCCGAAATGTCAAAATATCAATAAAAAATTAAAGTAAAATGGCACAGCAGATTGTTTTCATATGGAGTATTTTCATTGGACACGTGAAAACCTCGGACCAATGAAAATACTCCACACAAAAGCAAAGGAAAACGAAGTTGCGTTATAGTTTCTTATGATGCTTTTACACTATTACAAATAATAATTTAATTTTATCATATTTAAATACGCAATACAACAAAATTTTCATTGACTGTGAATTTAGTGTGTTTTTACTCATGAGAGTTATACTGAAACAGTGCAATCAGATCTCTTCCGAGTTTCATTTGTTGACAGTTTGGGCTTGAATATTACTTGCTACGTATAATCAGCGAAGGTGCCAGTGTTGTTTTCTTAAAAAGTATTTATTTATCTAAGATTTGACACAAAGATTGTTAAGATTGGTTAAAATTTGAAGAATATATGCGCTGAAAATCGAGATGCTAGTGATTTTTCTATACAAAATGAAAGTAGAGTTAAATACCTTTTAATTTTTTAGAGTCATATTTTTTTTTCATAAAATTAATTTTTGTCAATACTTATGATTTTTGGATGATGTTTAAGGGTTTTTGGTTGTAGAGGGGGGACGGGGTATATTGTAAGTCATGGCCACGCGACGTTCACCTGTGAGAGGGACGGCAGAGGTTATTTAAAATAAAGTTACATCTGTAGAAGTAACAATTAGGCAGTAAACTTTCAAAGTAATCCTTTAATGTTCTTGTGACGATTTCCAACGAAAATATTATGTAAGCCATTACGGGGAAACAACATATTAAAATACAATTCTGGGAGAGATTGAAGGGTTGGGAAATATGTTATATCACAACTTCCCAAAGTTATTTATTTAGAAAAAAAGCACAAACAAAAAAGTCCGCCAAAACGACCTATAAAATCATTTCGCATTTCTTTTAGAAATTTACCACATGACGTCCAAGAACGAATAACTGTAACTTGTCTAATATGAAATTTACACTAACGTTTATTGTACTTGTTATCTAATTTTTAAACAATACTAAATGCTATTAAAACCCTCATTACCGTATATTGCCCCACTCCAAAAGAGTGTTCCTCTTACAGGCGGCTTCATTGTCAATATTGCTATATAGATATAAGTCTATTATTAATATGTTTGCTTATATTCATAAATTTTTGTTTTACTTTAAACCTTACATCGCAAATTCATTCCACTAATTTATGCAAAATAGAACACAGCAGAACAGGAGTTTATTCACATAAAAGTATACAGCACGTCGTTGTAACAATGTAACATGTAATATACATATTAATTCTTACCCAAGTGAACAATGTCTACCCTTGTTAATATATTCGATGGACACATAATTTGTTCGGCAAGTTGTTGTTTGATGGCTACCTTAAGTATTTCGTCAATGACAAAGTCTGTCGTATCACTTTCCACCAGAATACTAATACGCACTAAATCAGTATCGTTTGCAAACTTCGGTAGCTTGATTAGATTCTCTGCAATAAATAAGATTGAAATATTTTGACTTTGCTGAAATTATCATACCCATACACTTTGCCAATATAATCATACCATTACACTTTACAAACATAATCATACTAATTCATATTTTATACAGAATCATATTAATACAATTGCAAACAAACAAATACCAATAGACGTTGCAAACATACTCATATCAATACATTTTGCAAACATGGCAATAACAATACACTTTGAAAACATACACATACCAATACACTTTGCAAACATACTCATATCAATACATTTTGCAAACATATTCTTATCAATACACTTTGAAAACATACTCATATCAATGCACTTAGCCAATATAATCTTAACCATACACTTTGCAAATATATTCATACCAATACACTTTGCAAACATACTCATATTAATACACTTTGCAAACATACCTCATATCAATACACTTTGCAAACATACCATATATCAATGCACTTAACCAACATAATCTTACCCATACACTTTGCAAATATATTCATATTAATACACTTTGCTAAAATACACATACCAATACACTTTGCAAACATACCTCATATCAATACACTTTGCAAACATACCTCATATCAATACACTTTGCAAACATAGCAATATCAATACACTTTGCAAACATACTCAATACACTTTGCAAAAATATTCATACCAAAACACTTTGCAAACATACCTCAGACCAATACACTTTGCAAACATACACATACCAATACACTTTGAAAAGATACTCATACCAATACACTTTGCAAACATACACATACCAATACACTTTGCAAACATACCTCATATCAATTAACTTTGCAAACATACCTCATATCAATACACTTTGAAAACATAGCAATATCAATACACTTTGCAAACATACTCAATACACTTTGCAAAAATATTCATATCAATAAACTTTGCAAACATACCTCAGACCAATACACTTTGCAAACATACACATACCAATACACTTTGCAAACATACCTCATATCAATAAACTTTGCAAACATACCTCATATCAATACACTTTGCAAACATAGCAATATCAATACACTTTGCAAAAATATTCATACGAAAACACTTTGGAAACAAACCTCAGACCAATACACTTTGCAAACATACACATACCAATACACTTTGCAAACATACCTCATATCAATAAACTTTGCAAACATACCTCATATCAATACACTTTGCAAACATACACATACCAATACACTTTGCAAACATACCTCATATCAATAAACTTTGCAAACATACCTCATATCAATACACTTTGAAAACATAGCAATATCAATACACTTTGCAAACATACTCAATACACTTTGCAAAAATATTCATATCAATAAACTTTGCAAACATACCTCAGACCAATACACTTTGCAAACATACACATACCAATACACTTTGCAAACATACATCATATCAATAAACTTTGCAAACATACCTCATATCAATACACTTTGCAAACATAGCAATATCAATACACTTTGCAAAAATATTCATACGAAAACACTTTGCAAACAAACCTCAGACCAATACACTTTGCAAACATACACATACCAATACACTTTGCAAACATACCTCATATCAATAAACTTTGCAAACATACCTCATATCAATACACTTTGCAAACATAGCAATATCAATACACTTTGCAAACATACTCAATACACTTTGCAAAAATATTCATACCAAAACACTTTGCAAACATACCTCAGACCAATACACTTTGCAAACATACACATACCAATACACTTTGAAAAGATACTCATATCAATACACTTTGCAAACTTACCTCGTATCAATACACTTTGCAAACATGAATATACAAATACACTTTGCAAATATATTCATACAAATACACTTTGCGAACATACACATACCAATACACTTTGCAAACATACCTCATATCAATACACTTTGCAAACATAGCAATATCAATACACTTTGCAAACATACTCAATACACTTTGCAAACATATTCATACCAATACACTTTGCTAACATACACATACCAATACACTTTGCAAACATACCTCATATCAATACACTTTGCAAACATAGCAATATCATTACACTTTGCAAACATAGCAATATCAATACACTTTGCAAACATACTCAATACACTTTGCAAACATATTCATACCAATACACTTTGCTAACATATACATACCAATACACTTTGCAAACATACCTCATATCAATAAATTTGCAAACATACCTCATATCAATTCACTTGCAAATCTAGCAATATCAATACACTTTGCAAACATACTCAATACACTTTGCAAACATAGTCATACCAATACACTTTGCAAACATACCTCATACTAATACTCTTTGCAAAGATACACATACCAATACACTTTGCAAACATACTCATACCAATACACTTTGCAAACATACTCATACCAATACACTTTGCTAACATACTTATATCAAAAAACACAATATATCAATACACTTTTCAAACATACTCCTATCAATACACTTATCCAGCATAATCATAACAATACACTTTTCCGGCAAAGTAATGCCAATATATTTTGCAAACATAATCGTACCAATACACTTTGCCAGCACACTCATACCAATACACTTTGCAAATATAATCATAACAATTCACTTTGCTGAAATAATAATACCAATTCAAATTGCCAGCATAATAATACCGTAAACTTGCCATACCAATTCACATTGCAAACAAAGTCATACCAATGCACTTTGCATAACATACTCATATCAATACACTTTTCCAGCATAATCATATCAATACACTTTTTAGCATAATCATACCAATAAATTTTGCAAACATGCTCATACCAATACACTTTGCCTGCATACTGATACCAATATACCTTGCAAATATAAACATTATTATTCGCTTTGCTGAAATAATCATACCAATTCACTTTGCTGAATTTGCTGAAATAATACGCTTTACCAATATAATCATACCAATAAACTTTACAAACAGTCATACTAATTCATATTTTGTACAGAATCATATTAATAGAATTGCAAACAAACTAATACCAATACACTTTGCAAACATATTTATATAAATACATTTGCAAACATGGAAATAACAATACACTTTGCCTGCATACTGATACCAATATACCTTGCAAATATAAACATTATTATTCGCTTTGCTGAAATAATTATACTAATTCACTTTGCTGAATTTGCTGAAATAATACACTTTGCCAATATAATCATACCAATAAACTTTACAAACAGTCATACTAATTCATATTTTGTACAGAATCATATTAATATAATTGCAAACAAACTAATACCAATACACTTTGCAAACATATTTATATAAATACATTTGCAAACATGGAAATAACAATACACTTTGCAAACATATTCATATCAATACACTTTGCAAACATACTCTTATCAAAACACTTTGCAAACATACTTATATCAATACATTCTCCAGCATAATCATATCAATACACTTTTCCAGCATAATGTTACCAAAACACTTTGCAAACATAGCAATACCAATACACTTTGCAAACATACTCAATACACTTTGCAAACATATTAAATTTTATATTAATTCACTTTGCAATCATAGCAATAGCAATACACTTTGCAAACATACTCAATACACTTTGCAAACATATTCATATCAATACACTTTGCAAACATACTCATATCGATACACTCTGCATTCATACTCATATCAATACACTTTACAACATACTCATACCAATACACTTTGCAAACATACTCATATCAATACACTTTGCAAACATACTTATACAAGTACCCTTTGCAAACATACACATATCAATACATTTTTCCAGCATAATCATATCAATACACTTTTCCAGCATAATCATACCAATTCATTTTGTTAACATACTCATACCAACACACTTTGCCAGCATATTCGTATCAATGCACTTTGTTTGCATACCGTTACCAATACACTTTACCAATATAAATTAAAAAAATTACACTTTGAAAACATAACCATACCAATACACTTTGCCAGTATAATAATACAATTTACCAATACACTTTACCAGACAAAACATGCCAAACACTTTGCCAGCATACTCATACCAATACACTTTGCCAGTATAATAATACAATTTACCAATACACTTTACCAGACAAAACATGCCAAACACTTTGCCAGCATACTCATACCAATACACTTTGCAAATATAAACATGATAATTCACTTTGCTGAAATAATCATACCAATTCACTTTGCCATTATAATCATACCAATACCATTTGCAGCATACTCGTACCAATACACATTGCCAGAATGATAATACCAATACACTTTACCAGCACACTCAAACCAAACACTTTGCCAGCATACTCATACGAATAGACTTTGCAAACATCCTCATACCAATACACATTTCCTGCATAATAATACTAATACACATTGCCAGAATAATAATACCAATACACTTTACCAGCACACTCATACCAAACACTTTGCCAGCATACTCAAACGAATACACTTTGCAAACATCCTCATACCAAAACACATTGCCAGCATCATAATACCAATACACTTTTCCAGTAAACTGATATTAAAACACTTTGTCAGCATACTCATACCAATACACATGGTAAATTTCTTCATACCAATTCACTTTGCAAACATAATCATCCAATTCACTTTGCTGAAAAAATTATACCAATACACTTTTCAAACATACTCATACCAAAACATTTTTGCCAATATAATCATACCAATTCACTTTGCAGATAAACTCATACCAATATACTTTGCAAACATGATAATAACAATATATTTTGTTAGCATATTTTTACCAATTTTCTTTGTCAACAAAATAATATTCCAAAACATTTTTTTCAATATAATAATAACAACACACTTTGCCAACGTACCCATAACAAAACATTTTGCCAGCCTTACCATACCAAGTTACATTGCAAACATAGTCATACCAATGCACGTTGAAAAAAGCTCATACATATTCAATTGGCAGCATACTCATACAAAACCCTTTGCCAATATAAGCATACCAATACTATGCTTGCAAAATAATACCAATATATTTTGCCAACATACTAATACCCTTTTTCCAATATAGTTATACTTATACACTTTGCAAACATTCTCATACCTTACACTTTGCAACATACTCATACAAAAACACTGGTAGCAATACTATTTGCATAGACTACTAGTATATATTCAAAACGGTCCACTTTTTCAAATACATGTACTAATATACACATACATGTACTGGTATTTTTGTTTAACATTCTAAAACGAAGAAACTTAAGTTTTGTTTTACTCTGCTCTATATACAGTCATATCGATACATTAATTTATACGACAAACTTACCGATGCACTTAACCTTTTCCATGCACAAAGAAGCATTCATCAATATACACCAAACCTGAAATAAAATAATGAATTAAGCCGAAAAATCTATTAATTAAAATAAATCAATACTGCAAGATGAGTTAAGTAAATTATTTATTTTATTTCAATTAATTTTATTCTATATTTGTCGGCTCAATTGTACATTAACAATATTGTACTTCTTACAAACAGTAATGTAAATTTGTATTTAAATAAGCAAATTACCTCGTTTTCAAGACATCCGAAACATTCAGAATTAGCAAGGTATTTTGGTATTGGCTTGTCTGGAAAGGGAAAACAAGAAACACTTAACGGCATACTTATTTATAGCATCTTCGTTTTCAAACAAGTTTTCATATGGCCCCATGTTTACTAAGAAAAAGTCTGGATCATGATCAAATGACTACAAGTGCTGATTTTTTTAAATGCATTATAAAAGTAAAGTAAAACTTATTATATTAGGCTACTTGCTTCATGGTGAATATCACTAAACAAGGTGGAGATTTCGACCAATCGCTCAACATTACAATTATTTTCCATTTAACTTTAGGTAGTTGTGTAAAGAAAATTGACTACATGTACTTGTATGCAATAAACTCGTATGTTATTTTTCATAAATCTTTACCGTACACAAGTCCCGAAATATATTGACCAACCATTTTGTTGCAATTCTGCACGTGGAAAAATTGAATGCAAGGATATGAAAGGTATCGCTCGTGAATTTCAAATGGTTGTTCGTTAGTTACATATTTCATTACATTTTTATTCAACTATTTTCTTGAAAGATTTTTTCCGATGTACTGTTTGATTTTATTAACCTGTCAATTGCATACTGATTATACGGTCGATGCACACAACATATTAATCTTCGGTAGATTTTCGGTAAGTTCCGTGATATGTTCGCAGTAAGATGATGTGTTTGTGAACGAAGTAATTATACTAATAGTTATAAAGATTGTTGACAGGTTATATGACCCTATATAAACGGCTGTTTGTAAATATAACGCGAGCCGTTAGGCGAGGGTTATATTGCAAACAGCCGTTTATATACGGCCATATATCCTGTCAACAATCTTTATCACGAATTTATAATACAGCACGCATCAATTTTTTAGAGAAAAGGTAAGATTACTTCATGAATCGACAGCATCCGTGTATATAGAATTTTATAATACTGCACGTTTGTAACGTCGCTTTTAATTGGATAATCGCGGCTCGGGTTATATTTACAAACAGCCGTTTATATATGGCCATATAACCTGTCAACAATCTTTATAACTAATAATATAAACGTCACGGTTATCCAATGAAAAGCGACGTTACAAACGTGCAGTAGTATAGTGAGCGTTATAGCGCAATAGGGGGAACTACGGGTTAATAATTTCTAAATGCCCTAGGTGTTGTAAGACCGAGACCGTGTAGGTCCTTGCTTTTTCTTTATTTATATTTTCAACGTTATCGGAGCTATGATTGGCTTTTTATGTTGTTCTTTTTGTTTTAATATGTTTTGCGCTTATTTTGGTAAAGTATGCTTTTTTTAAAAATAACTTTGTGTGAGAATTAATATTTAAAATCCATTCAGATTAAAATCAGTACGTGTCAATTTAATACCGTAAAACTCAAAACAAAACAGTGTTTCTAAGTAGCTTCATATCCGTGTAGACAATTATGTTAACTCGGCCATTTTCAATAAAATATACTGCAAAAATAAAGAGTAGGTCTAAAACAATGGCAACAGAAGGGATCGAACCACAAACCTCTCATATATCAGGCAATCACTTATCAGACTGTGCTATTGCGGATGTAACGACTGTCATTACATTAGGCTGGTGTGAACTTTAAAACATAAGATATACTCCATATTAATTCTCGTAAACTACACGGACAGAACCGAAGTGCGAATATTTTAATGGGTGCTATAATATATTCATAATTGTCATGTCAATAAACTCAGATTATACATAATTATTACATTTTCTGTTTCATTTTGAATCTTTCATTTGTACATCCAATGTTTTTTTTCAATTTCACTTAAAGAGACGGACGGAGCGTAATTTAGCAGATGAGAACTGGTCACATACCCTTATGGTGGCCGGTTGCGGCCATTCCAAACCCGCGAGAAATTTTATCGTTTTACCATAAATGTCGCGTGCAACTTACAAATCTGCGAGATTTTCTGCCGAAATCACACAAATCCGCGAAATTTCCTACCGAAATCATACAAATCCGCGAGATTTTCGGCCGAAATCATACAAAATGTCGGGGGGAACTTATAAACCTCGATATCTTATAATAGTTGTTGGACACAGCAAGGAACATTTTGACTCAAGTGGTCGGTAGCGTCCATGGTTTGACTCTACATTGTATCTCTCATTTGTCTGTAGTAAAAAAAGTCGAAAAGAAAGAAATCCGCGACATTTTTTTGCAAGTGTAGTAGAAATTCTACCAAAAGTCGAGGAGAAAAATAACAGGCCGCGACTTTTTGTTCCTCTACAACGACTTTTTCATAAAAAGTCGCGTTTGTTTTTACCCGAGATTTTTGTAAGAAATCCGCGACTTTTTAGCCGCAACTTTTTACGCAGAGATTTCCCGGCACAAAAAGTCGAAACTGAGTGCTCAAATTCGACTTTTTACAAGGTAGGCCTATGCATCAAAACAAAATATTGCGGATTATAATGGCCGCAATTGGCTACCTTAAGTGGGCATATGTTTGGGTAGCTTAATATACTATGTAGACAGAAAATGTCGCGGTTTCCTTAGTAAAACTCGACTTTTTACACAGAAGTGTGACAGAAAAACTCGCGAATTTCCCTAAGCCGCGACATTTTATACAATTTTGACATAAAATCTCGCAGATTTAAAAGTTGTATTCATTACTAAATTTATTAAATTCGCTGAATGAAATGATAGTATGCTCGCCAGAGACTCGCATAATACAATTTTAATAAATAATACAACTCGTTCAATAAATTCAGTATTGAATATCCTCTACTTATCGATAATTTTGTTTGATGCCAAAATTAAATTCCTGCTCATTATTTAATTTTACCTATGAAATATGATGCTATTATCAGTCAAATATATTTCATATTTTTTTAAAATAAATATGAAATATAAAATGAAAGTGGGCGGAGTCAAAACTCATATTTATTTTAAGGGACTTCTTTCGCCATTTTGTTTGAAAAATCTGCTAAATACAAACAACTTTTTTGTTGAAGTTTGTTTTGAAAACTATCTAGAAATGATAGAAAATGGTCTAACTAAGAAAATAAATCCGAACACCAATATCTTTAATTCAGTCATTAACGCTTACAATTGCAGTTGCGTAGCAGGCAAGGGGGGTCATAACCATTTTTCTTTGATAATGAAATTAAATAAAAAGGTTATTTTTTCGTTTTTCGTGAAATATGGTATATATTTTCACTCAACATGATAAAATGCCTCATATTTTCACTCGCCGTCCCGGCTCGTGAAAATATGTGGCATCTTATAATGTTTCGTGAAAATATATTCCATATTTCAATCAAACGAAAAAATATCATCTTATTATCCAGTTTGAGCCACTTATTATCTTTAGCGAATTTAAAGAAATTACCAACAGAGGAACAAATAAAGGATAAGATAGTTATATTTTCTTTGGTGATTTACACCATGATGCATGAGCTGTATACAGAAACAAAAACAGGTTCATATTGTTAATATTTCTCTCGATTAAATTCAGTCACAAACGGGATTAAAATTAACATCATTGAAATATAAAAATAGAAATAATTGCGTTATTTTCTTAATATTCTAGACTTTGAGCCTGTTATAATAGTCAGACCCTGGCTTTATTATCAAGCCTTAATGATCCGGTAAGAGATCAATTGTACAATGCAACGAGCAGCAGTGACTTACAAGAAAGAGCAGTAGCGCTGGTATTTGCATATATCTAAATTAAGTTTTAATGGCATATTAAGTGTAAGATTTTCCCCCAATTCTTTAGAAAGGAGTAATATGTGTAATATTGAAAAAAGAGCATGTAAGATTCTGATCACCTGAAAAATATAACTGCAATAAAAAAAACCAAACACAAGATGACTTAGCTGTAAATATATTGAGTAACATTTTGGAATCTGATACACGACACCATAAAAATAAAAAGCTTTTGAAAAAAAAAGCATATGTAAGGCTTAGCTCATAAAGTTAAGTTGCAAAAAACATGACTTGGAAGCAAAAAGAAATTATTTATACCGATTATATATTATAATGACTGTAATATTGTCTTGATACAAGCAATGAATAATGATGGATTTATCTAATGTCAACCATTGTGATTTTTTCGGTGCATTGTTATATATAAAACCTAAAAAAAACAAAACACTATACGCTTACCGGATTGATAGATGTTACATACGTCTTCCATTATATCAGAGGCGAATATCATTTATCTCTATGTAACGTAAAAAGTATTTTTAAACTAATGGATGGCATACAATTTTCGGAACAAATTCGTTCATGGTAAGTAAGGGAATCTCAGATAATTAATAATCATTTAGTCCTAGAATGAATAATGCTAAAATGTGCAAAATCACAAAACTTTATCAACAACCTCTGTCGTCTAATTTCTGGCCGAAATGACAAAACATTTTTGTCTAATTTACAGAATATTCAAGAAAGATACATTACCAATATCTGCGTATGTCTTTCTAAAAGAATTTTTAATAGCTTCAATCGTTAAAGTGCCAAATTGAAAAGTTTTGGTATTCAAAATTAAGTCCTCCATTTTCTGCAAGCTAGTTGTTCTACCGGGAGATGGTTCGACATCAATGTGCGCACCCATTGTAGCTCTTGCTAGAAAGATGGAAACATATTCCTACATATAGTTTCACTATCTTACAATTCTTTACTATAACTCTTAAATAAATACTTAGTAATTGTTTGGCTTTTTGAAATCTTAAGCAATTAAACAAAATTTTAACCGAATCATATGTATAGGCACTTGAATTATGAAGAATTGCATGTATTAGAAAAGATGAGCGTTGCATGTTATTTTCATTACACCGAAATATGTCAAGTATTCTTAACTTTTATGACTGTGTGGTGGATTTTGTCATGTATACTTTACTCATAGGCTGTGGTGGATTTTGTCATTTATTCTTTACTCATAGGCTGTGGTGGATTTTGTCATGTATTCTTTACTCATAGGCTGTGGTGGATTTTGTCATGTATTCTTTACTCATAGACTGTAGTGGATTTTGTCATGTATTCTTTACTCATAGACTGTGGTGGATTGTGTCATGTATTCTTTACTCATAGACTGTGGTGGATTTTTTTCATGTATTCTTTACTCATAGACTGTGGTGGACTTTGTCATGTATTTTTCACCCATAGACTGTAGTGGATTTTGTCATGTATTTTTCACTCATAGACTGTGGTGGATTTTGTCATGTATTCTTTACTCATAGACTGTGGTGGATTGTGTCATGTATTCTTTACTCATAGACTGTGGTGGATTTTTTCATTTATTCTTTACTCATAGACTGTGGTGGACTTTGTCATGTATTTTTCACTCATAGACTGTAGTGGATTTTGTCATGTATTTTTCACTCATAGACTGTGGTGGCTTTTGTCATGTATTTTTCACTCATAGACTGTGGTGGATTTTGTCATGTATTCTTTACTCATAGACTGTGGGTGATTTTGTCATGTGTTCTTTACTCATAGACTGTGGTGGATTTTATTGAACATAACCGTTAAGATAGTGTTGCGGATTTTGTTCAACATTACCTTCGAGTTAGTGTGGAAAAGTTTGTTCAACATCACCTTCAAATAAGTGTGGTGAATTTTGTTGAATATTACCTGAGAGACATTGTGGTGGATTTTGTTGAACCCCGCCTTTGAGGCAATGTGGTGAATTTTGTTAAATCTATCCTTAGAGACAGTGTGGTGGATTTTTATAAGACACTGTGGTCGATTTTGTTCAACCTTACTCTTCAAAAAGTTTGATGGATTTTGTTGTACCATACTTTAGAGACAGTGTGGTGGATTTTGTTGAAACCTTACCTTACAGACAGTGTGGTGAATTTTGTTGAACGAACCTAATTTTTCAGAAAGTTTGGCGGATTTTGTTGAACCTTACCCTTTACATACTGTGGTGGATTAAACTGTACATTTTGGATAGTGAAGTGGATTTTATTAAAAACTTACCTTTGCGATAGTATTGTAGATGTTGTGGAAACCTTACTACTTTAAAGGCACATTATGGTTCACAAACGAATATTTTTTTTCTTCTTAAGAAAGGACAAAAATGGGTTTTTATAATGTTTTTTTAACCATTTAAATGCACAGTAAATGTATTTTACTTGAAGAAACTAGCACTGTATGTGAAAATTTATGTCGAAAATGAAGCAAAATGTAAACACAGTAGTATTTTGACTTCCATACAAAATACTTATTCACCAAATCTGTACTAATTGCTAAATTGCAACATTAGCAAATGATTGTTCAGGTGATAGGTATGTAAATTTTATTTAGAAAATATGAAAGGTCAACAAAATTAAAGAACTTTTGAGAAATAAAAAATAAAAGCATTGCGATGGCATAATAAGCCTTTAATATCCAGTGGTGGACTTTGTTCAACCTTACCTTTTTCGGAAAAGTATATGTTAATGGCTGATTTGCAGGAAAGTTCTATAAAACTTGCAACGGTATTGAGCACAGTCTCTGCTGCATAGTCCAATCCGTAGAAATCAAGGACATTGATATCACCATAGATACCAAGGTAAACTGAAAAGAAAGAGATTTTCGACAACACTGGAAATTTAAATGTTTATATTTCATTTAGATGTGGACAAAAATTAATTCAAGGAAATGCACCATTTGTTTACATCTTAATAAATAAATTTAATTTCATCTTTTTTTTACTGATACATAACAAACTTTATCAATTTTACTTCCTTTTTGTTTTAAAGTCTCATGAGTATGCCAAACGTTTCTATATATAGTTTGATCAAAGTTTGATCACAGAATACGTGTAATTTGCTCATTTTTAGTCTAAAATTACGTCAGCAGCTTGTGTCTTCGCTTTAAGCTAAGTTGTTTTTGCTTTTCAAAAAAGTGAGCGAATATTGTTATAAAGATTTTGATAGGTTATGTGGCCCTATATAAACAGTTGTTTGCACATATAAGCCGGGCCGCTAGGCTTTTTCAAGAAATGGTAAAATAATAACTATAAATAATAAGTTGTATGCATGCGTACATTTTACAGTCTTATAAAATAACTTATCACATCTACCAATCCCAACACATTTGTGTACACCCGTCTGGTCTCTGCAGACCTCCTGTTTTAATGCAAAAGAATAGGTAATACAATGTTTGATATGGCATTTTTCAATTTAAAATAAATTTATCTTTTTTTTCTTTAACCATATAAATAATTATATAAAAAACATGTCGGTGATATCAAGGTATCCTTGCATACTAATTGTAGCAAAGTCGTTATTCAATCTCATTATTTAATTCTATATTATTGTACTGTTTATAGCCATCTTATATGAAAATTCTTATTTATTATTTGTCTCACCCCAACCACACATTCAGTAACATTAGATTCTCAATGAACACCTCGTTGGTTGATATATACTACCTCCCCCCCGCCAAAACAAACAAACAAAACAACAACAAAAAATAGAGCACCACCCCCCCCCCCCAAAAAAAAAAATAATAAAAATAAAAAAAATAAAATAAAAAATCGTCCTCCCTACATTATGCAAGGGTTATAAAAATGTTAACAAACTTTGATTTAGAGAAATAAATGTTGAATCTAACATTTCTGATATTACTTTTTACAACTGATATTTGATAACATGTAGATAGAGTAATCTCTTGTTTGACCTTTCACCGTTGACGAGTTTCATGAGTCCATTTCACAATGACCTTTTAACACAGTTCGAATAGCATAAGAAAATATGTCAATCACTTATTGGCGAAGAATATAACTTTGTCGATGATGATGATGATGTTTATGAAGTGATATTAAGAAAGGCGATGTAAAGTATCATATTTAATGGTGTTATTTTCTTATGCTTACATTTATAAATTAATTGATATGCTGTAAAATAAATCATCTTATATGGAGCACAATTAAAAATTATTGAAGTGTAGATGGATTTCGTAAACAAGAGGTCCATTAGAAAGTGTTCTGCCGTGAAAATATAGATATTATAATGGATTTATTGATATTATAAATATATTTTTTTTATTATTGAAATATAATTCAGTTTAAATAATTGTTTTAAAACAATGAAAAAGTATTCTCAAAGATTTTATCAGATACTGTTATTGAATGAAGTATTGTGTTTTTTTATCTGCCATAGAATATATAATAAGTTGTGGACACACTATGTACAAATTCTACAGACAAATAAATGTCAACTTAATGTTTTGACACAATAAAGTTGTTACTTTAATTAGTCTACATGTCACATAAGTCTGAGAAACAAGTGGTCAATTGTAAACAGAATGTTATATACATGTTTGAGTCTGATTGGTCAATTTAAAGCTTTTATGTATTTCCGGAAATTTTCATTGGTTAACTCTTTAGACATATTATGACACACAAAACCTGTATAAGCTCGTCGTTTCCTGAAGTTGGCAAAATAGCATTATAAAACTAAACTCAGGAAGCTTATGACAATATTTTAGATTTTGAATATCAATGACTTTAAGTCAGTAACAGCTTATAGCCTGAGAGTTTTCCCGAAACTTGAACAACAACTACATCAAGAACAACGAACAAATAATACGCTGCACAATTTGCGGTACAACAAAAGTACCATGAATTAATGTACTTTAAATGAACAAAAAAAAATTTACTCTTTCCTAGCTTCTATAGCGAAAAAGCCCTAAAAATTGTTTCGTTGAACGGTTTTCAGTGTTTTTCATTCTTGCTGATGACTGGATGTCGATGTTATCATTTAGTAGAGGCGAACGGTTGATGACGTTACTCAAATTTTGAAGACATACAAACTAACATACCCTTTATCTTTAGAAGAAAAGCATTTTTGAAGGTATGGTTTGGAATACTTAATGACAAATTGTCGATGTTTACGAATCGTATCTTAAAATGATATATTATCATGAGAAAAAGACATTTTTAAATGCCTCATCTCATCGGAAAGTGTGGTTATTTTCAATCAAAATTCATGTAGAGTAAAGTTTGCACAGGACCAGAAATTCGTAAGCAGGCTTCTTAAGATGTTGACTATGAATCCATTACATTGATTTACTCGAACATTGTTAGGGAAATTTAACAAGAGCTGTCAGTAGGACAGCAACGCTCGACTATACTTAGTTCTTGTTAGTAAAAGAGCCTTGATAATGTTGTTAATAATTAATAATAATCAAAAGATTGCACTGGTTCTTCAATAACGTTGTTTTATTATCGATTACCTGAAGTCAACTCATATAATGACGTCAATACAATAACATATAAAAAGGCGCGTCACGTTTAATAAAGGCGCAATAACTCAGTACATACATATGTACGTAACAAATGTAAAATTTATAAGTTAAAAAAAGGCAATTTTTTTCTTTAAATACATGCTACAGTTATAGGCCTTGGAGAGAGTCATTTTATGCTCCCAAAGAAGAGTATAAAATTTCAACTTGTTTCAAAGCCAGGTGTCAATAGAATATGAAAATATCTGAGGTGGTATGCAAACTTAAATGTCAATTCTAAGTTTAAAATGGGGATTTAATTTGCCAAATGCTTCATAGAGTTACCTCCTCCTGTCTACAGGTTGGGATCATGATGGTGAACAAGCGTGCAAACTTTAAAAGCCATATGTCAATGGACTTTGAAAATATTTAAGGTATAACAAAAACTTTAACGAAAATTCTAAGTCGAAAAATGGGCATAAATCTGTCAAAATGCTTGAAACAGTTACCCTCTCCTGTCTACAGGCTAGTGTCAAAGTTCCAAAGCCATATGTCAATGGACTTTAAGGTGTTACAAAAACTTTAACGTAATTTTAAGTAAAAATGGGGCATAATTTTGTCAAAAAGCATGATAAAATTACCTCCTCCTGTCTACAGGTTGGGGTCATGATGTTAAACAAGTGAGCAAAGTTTCAAAGCCATATGTCAATGGTCTTTGAAAATATTTGAGGTATAACAAAACAAATTAACGTAAATTCTAACTAAAAAAGGAAGCATTATTCTGTTAAAATGCTTGATAAGTTACTTCCTCCTGTCTACTGTTTGGGGTTATGATGGTTAACAAATGTGCAAAGTTTCAAAGCCATATGTCAATGGACTTTGAAAATATTTGAGGTATTACAAAATCTTTAACATAAATTCTAAGTCGAAAAAGGGGCAAAATTCTGTCAAAATGCTTGATACAGTTACCGCCTCCTGTCTACAGGTTGAGGTCATGATGGTGAACAAATGTGAAAATGTTTCAAAAACATATGTCTAAGGACTTTGAAAATATTTGAGATATTACAAAAACTTTAATGTAAATTCTAAGTCGAAAAGTGGGCATAATTGTGTCAATGCTTGAATCTTGAAACTGTTAGATGGTGGATAAGTATGCAAAGTTTCAAAGCCGTATGTCAATGGACTTTGTTACGCGGACGCCGACACCGACGCTCGGGTGCCTACAATAGTTTTACTTATTCTTATAGAATAGTCGACCTAAAAAATAGATAAATAGTTACCGTACGTCAATTATGTTTTATACCGATATTTATGGAACGCCATAGCTGCATCATGTTTTTACATTTCTTTTTATCTTGCTCAGAAAGCGTCTTATTATGTCAAATATAAGCGTTGTAATGCCATTGTAATTTGTCGACTTGTCTAAACATTGCCTTATTATGCGTAACAGTAGTCTTATCTCTTTAAAATGTGATGTTGACTTGTGTTAACATTGTTTGATTTTTTCAAACAATAGTGTTATCATGTCAAAATGTCGTTTTGGCGTGTCTGAAATGTGTCATATTATGTCAACTTGTCGCGCTATTTGGTCAAATTGTGGAGCTGTTTAATCAAAAGACTGCCTGATCATTTGAAACAGTAGTGTTCTCTTGTCGTTATTTGGTGTTAACTTGTGAAAGCAAAGCTTTATTTTATCAAACTGCCATGCTATTTTGTCAAAATACGGTGTTTAAATGCCTTAACATTGTCTTATTGTGTCAAACATCTGTGTTAATTTGCCAACGTACACTTCTGAGTTGTCTTTTTATATCAAATATTCGAATTATCTTGCCGAAATGGAGTGTTGACTGGGCTAAATCATGCCTTATTATGATAAACTGTATGCTATTTTATCAAAAAGCGGTTTTGACTGGTTAAAACTCAGTCTTATAAAGTCAAAAAAAAAAGGTATCTTGTCGGAATGTGGTAAAGACGTGTCTAAACTCTTTCTTATAATGTAAAACAGAAGTGTTATATTGTCCAAATTTGATGTTTTCTCGTAAAACACAGAAATAGTCTTATTGTGTCTGATAATTGTGTAAATTTGTTCAAATTTAGTTCTGTCTTAAGAAAGCGCTGTCTGATTTTGCGAAACTGCCTCGTTATCTTTTTTGCTCTTTCTTTTCACGCTCCGCGCGGATTCTGGTCACGTGATACTGAGTTTTGAGACAGGATAACACGATTATCTGACATAATGAGACGGTATTTAGACATGTTAACGTCATAAACTGGCAAGTTAACGCTACTGTACTACATAATAATACTGTGTTTCAACAAGTAAACACCACATTTGAAAAGGAAAAAATGAT